TTTGCGATTATACTTAATCGTCATATTCGGTTAATGCGAATCGCTAATACTATCACATTCACTTTCATCGTAATCTACTACTAGAGTTCCACCCTAGTGATATGAAAAACACTACTGAAAAACACACTTCGCAGAGTATCACGCCATTTCACGTAAAACGGATGAAACTCCACTATTATCACCTCCAACTTTACTGTGAATCGAATCGCTATGCAATTCGGAAATTTTTTCAACGTGAGCGCGACTATCGTTATGAAATGTTGCTTTCAAATAGTTGTCATCATATTTATACTACTGGAAATTAACAGGCTAATTTTAAGACTGTTTTCATCGCGCACATAACCGTTTATTTCGACATCGCAACGGTATAGTGCAGAAATAACAACAACATTTTTTTCACTCACATTCGTTGTCACCACCGGGGGCGACGATTCGGTATGAGGCAGAGGGGCAAGCAATAGCACAGGTGGATGGACAACAGGGTGATACGCTGTCACGGAGCTACTGCTGTAGTGGTATAGATAGTGCTTGGACTATGTGTTGGTGACAAAGTGAAAATTTCGAGGAGATTTTTGAAATTCTTTATTGGTCTCTGTACACTTGTACTCGCATTCGTGTATAAGCTCTCATAATTTGCGAAGGAACTCCTGAGCTCAGCTGAGGAAAGCATTTTCCGAAACTGCATAGTAGCGTTCTTTAGAATTCAGTCCTATACTTGTGTTGGTCCTCTCTCTATTTGTGGTATTAATTTCAAGTGCCTTGTGCGTAGTCGTAAACTGTGTTCGTGGTCTCAGTGATCATCATGACCGCTCGAGCGCACGGGAAGTAGGCAAGCCGGGACAGTGGAGGTAATGGAAAACGGCGTTATGGTGACACTCTGTCGTTTTTCAACTGAAAACTTTTTCGAAAACGTTCTTGAAATTCGTGGCAATTGTGAGTTTTCGTGTTTCATCAGAGACGGGGAAGAAGACAAAGCTGGCGATCGACATCATCATCATCAACGTGGAGCTGTTCGCAGGTAGTATCTTGAAAATCTTCATACTGCGTTACAAAAATGATACGGGTGTTTAGAGATGACGATCGAGGGGGAAGATACTCCAGTGGGTATCTTACTGGCAAAGGCCGGAAGGGTGGGGTCGGAGGCCGGTAGTACATGAATTATTTTCAAAATATTCCATACCACTCCTTTTTGAACTTCCATCGTACTATGTTTCAGAGATATGTCTCCGCCTAGTAGCCCTCAGACAGGTGGCAAGGGTGGCCGCAAGCCGCTGCTCACGGTGGGCAGCGGCGGCGGTTTAGATCAGTTCACTTTGGGTGATATTAGAAAGGCTGAGAAGACTCTCGAAGAGGTATCCGACTTGTTGATAGGGAGAGGGACAGGGGATTGTGTCGGTTCAGTCACATATGAGTCTTGGGCAGTACGCTCGGAAAGTGGCACAAGGAGAAATCACAAAGACAACTGATGATGAGGAGAAAAAGTAAAGGACGGTTGTGGGATTTGGGCCTAATCTGTATCTTGCATCGTGGAAGCTAAGATACTTATATTGGTAGATTCATCGATGATGACGATGGATTTTTCGCAAGTGAAATTCCTGATGGTGAAGGAGATGGTGGACGAATGGCGAAGTGGCTGAAGCCGACCGAAGGGAGTTCAGGGCCGCCGCTGGTAACAGTAGCTCCGCTCACTTCATAGTTTTTCTAGTGTTAACTCAACTGGTATGTAAACCTCTATCATAAATGGCGATTATATGATTATTATGTATACCGACCAACAGGAGGGTTACATCATATTTGTAGCGTGAAAAGTGAAGTCAACTCTGTGAAAATACGTCGATACACAAGTCACTTTCGAATTGGAATTCACAGGACTATTCTAATTTCGCGTGTTTTGGTGTAATACTGGTCTACTGTGAAAACACTAAACTTCGATGTTTAAAATGGCTGCTCACTGTTGCGAACTGGTGTGTTGGAGATGTGTCGGAATTACGGTATGGCCATTGTGTTCAGCCACAACCTCATCTACCCGCTGGCGCCACGACTTTGGAGGAGTTGGAAGCCGCGCAGAGGCAAAAGCGACAACAGCGGACCGCTGCAGAATCTACGAGCATGCAGGGCAGGAATCAACGGAGTGTTGGCCAGGTGGGCAGTAGTTTTGTGGCGCGCGGTGAAATCGCTCGTAAAATTGCGTGAGATATCATACCAAAACTCGTTGAAGATGCCTGAAATTTGAAGGGGTCTTGTACATGTTGGATGTTGACTTGTCTAATTTTAGGGCAGCAACCAGGCTGGTCTGCAGCTACTGTCTATGCTGCATTCTAAAGGCAGTACCCAACAAGAGCAGCAGAAAGCAACTCCCAGGCCAACATCATCGATCCCACCCCCGCCTCCAGAGGGAGTGAGAGCTCCCCCTCCTCCTCCACCTCAGTATCGTCCACAGGCGCCTCAGGTAGGTGGTTGGGCTGCTGCTGCTGCTGCTGCTAGTGCACTGATACGTTACTCTTATCATAAGATTAATTATTGAATATATAAAATGGTTATTATTATAATGAGGGCTAATATATAGACTATATTTGAATAGGTAGGTATTGATGATAGGTAGCAGCAACAGCAAATCCGAGTTACTCAACACAGCAAGTTATTGATATGTTACAGCAAAGGAGGCAGCAACAAGAAGAACAGAAAACTCGTCAACAGCGGGTTGAAGATCTGTTGTTATTGCAGCAGCAATTGGCTCGGGTAAGTTGGTGATAAGTCTGGGGTTGTGTACGGAGAGGTCAGGCCCGAGCGCAGCAGGAGCAGCAGCAGACCGGACAGCAGGTCACTTCTACACCCCAAATGAGGGCTTTATTGGAACAGCTGCAAATGCGACAGGTGGGGAATATAGTGAATCGATTGACAATGATCTAGAAGAGTTGAACTGTCTAAAATCGAGCTCACAAGTGTTCGTTCACACTATAAGGCAGCTGGCTGTGATGGTGGTGGGGTCTTTGGAGGGGGGAGTTACCACACAGGCACAAAGACAACAACAGCAACAACAACAGCAACAACAGCATTTGCAACAGCAGCAACAACAGTTGCAACAGCAGCAGCAGCAGTTGCAACGGCAGCAGATGTTGGCATCGGC